ATTTTTTGGGGGCGGAGCTGGTCGTATCTCGAAAAATTCGTAAGTAGGGGCATTCGTAACTAGAGGTACCACTGTATAAACATATAAGAGAAAAAAGCACTACAAAATATGCTGAATGACCCTCCGATGTCATAGGTGAGGCAATATCATATTCATACACATAAGACAAGTCAATACTATGACCACAGCATATTGACATTTGTTTTGTTACTGCTACCAGTGATACAAAGAAATGTCAATCTTAGAACACATACTGGACCACAGTATACTGAGTAAAGATTCCAAGAGGGCAACAATGAAATATAATAACATAGGACACAGAAACACTCCAACTTTAACATTAAAGCAAATTACAGAAATTAGATCTGACATTCCGGATCCGTGGTGTCTCTGCAGCTGGCCTGTGTCTTCCTTGTATGAAATTATATGGATTTTGGTTTGGCTGCGGGTCACCATGGAGACTTGCATAGGTCTCTGCATCATGCGATTTGCCTGTAAAGACATGTATGTTCCTTTGGTGATAGGCCATTAAGATCATGGATCTGGTGGCAATAGTTACATCATGAGCCAGCTTATGCTTAGAACCTGGGTTGAGTTTAAAACTGTTGTATGATAAGCAACTGCTGAGCAGCACAGCTCTGTTTCCAGAGAGACATGCTACATGACAGGATGTCTCTCCTAATCTCTCTTTCTTAAACAATCATAGACAATCATACACAACTGATGGCCTCATGTGCTCTCCTATAAAGACCTAGGAAGGGTTCCCAGAACCTTAAAGATGCTGACAAATACAATGTTTTTATGTGACACAACGGAAAAAGTATTAAACGTATGAGGAGTGATTATTGAACTGTATTCAATTATTTTACATAGGCTTACAGTTAAATTAAATCAAAATTTGTTTTTATCCTTATTTTCTAGAGTATAGCCTTCCATGCCTGATTACAAAAAAAGGTATGCATCCTAATATAAGGCTTTTCCTTGTGTTAATATAATATATATGTTAATATACATATTCCTCCAGTCCCTGAGGATTTCTGTTACCCTGATAGTTAAGCTCTAACTGTCTCAGTAATGAGGCTTGTGGAACCACAAAACTGCAGAAATATAGCTGAATGTGGCAGCTATTATGGATGGTGGGCTGAAAAAGCTTTGGGGTTTGGGGTGGAAGATAAGGCTAACCCTGTTACCCCATTGCTTCCTTTGCCATGCATATCCTACTTATGTAAGTAACACATGAATAGAGATATAGCTTGTTGGGTAGAATATTTATATAGCAACTGAACAAGTGCCTTTCCTTCCAATAGGTTCTCCACAGACACACAGTGAAATGAATAAGCAAAATCCAATAAATATTTAAATCATAATTCAGTTGATACAAAACACTTGTATTCCTAATACAGAATCTCAAAAGTAACCCATGAAGGAGACCTGAGAATGAACAGGATTGCAAAACTAAAAGTCAGACTAACCAACCTTTCCCCCTTATTCACAGCTCACTATTACTTCAATTCAGTTTCTTGTCCTCATTCCCTATCTTGAATATGAGTGATCTGAAAGCCTGTTGCAGAAATGTAAGCATTGTGCTGTCATTGGGTGATGGATTTACTTGTTGATACCTCTGTTAGTTCAGGCCACAGCATATGGCAGGAATGGACACAACGTCTCTCTTTGAAGGGGAGAGGGAAATTAATGACATTATGGTCCTAATCTCATTAGAGTACTTTTCTTCTTATTACCTGTTAAATCCTTTGTTCTTGATTCATGTCTTCCTTTAACATTGGTGTGGGTTTCTAGAGGACTGTCTGCATATTTCATTGCTACGATAGGAGGCAATTCCTTGTCTGAATTTAGTGGGACATCTTTAAAGGAAAGAGGAAAAAAATGCTAGAAAAGTTGCAGTTTGAAATTCTCCATTTTACTCAACTAGTCATGTTCTCTACAAGGATGCCATTCCACTCCCCAACATCCTGTCAGTATTCTAAGGCCAATGAACTTGCATAATACTCAAATGCCTTCTATCATTTCTACAACTCCTGAGATTTCCTTTTAAGCTGGGTAATGCTTTCCTTTTATGTGTGGGTGGCACAGTCATGGATAGATAAACCACGGCATCAGAAACTGGGCAACAAAAAGAGAAAAAAATAATAATTAATATATATTGCTTTTCCTTTCCTGTACCTTGTGAGAATGAGTGTTGCAATCCATCAACCTTGCAATCTTGAGACAACTGGGAAGATTCGTGGCTGAGGCCAGCATCTTTAGTTGGCCTTCCCATGATCTCATTCTCAGATGCAATTGTATTTTGGACCAGAAAATATGTGTGCATCTTCCCTTTGCCCTTCACATCAATTTCTCCTCTTTCCATAATGTCAAAATTCTTCTCTTTGAGGCACCTGAAACATAAAAGGAACAGCAGCAATGGACAATGTAACTGTTTTTGTATTAAAATAAATCAGTTAATCAACATTTTTTAACAAATAGTTCATTGCTATAGAAAAAACTTTCTCCCCCATCCTATTGCTCCAGAGGTTTCAGATTTTAAGGTTTGTCTTTACTAAAGCAGCAGCAATACTGACACTCACCATCACCTCACTTTACTGGCTTTACTGGCCATTTGACTGGATGACTTTACCGGCATAAACTGATACAGTAAAACCTACTGTAATTCCAGGTGCAAGAAATGCATCATGGCTCAGAAAGACAGAGAGAAGCCTTTTCAGCTAGAGCTTTCCTGCCAATCCTGCCAAGTCCATGCACATTCAATCAATATCTCTATTTCAGTATTAGAAACCTATACTATTACGGATCACTGTAAACATTGTTTTAAATGGTAAAAGAGAAGGTGATATACCAAAGGCTCATTTTCCACACAGAGAAGTTGAAATATGGCTGCCAGAAAAAGTAATGGGAAAAGAGGTGATTGAGAAATAAGGCAGCAAAACTTAACAGTGGCAAGACATATCCAGATTTATATGGTGGGGGGAAAACCAAGATTTAAATATAAGATCTTCCAAGATGCAAAGGGAAGAGGAGGACTGGGAGTACCTGATTTTAAATTGTATTTTGCTGCCTGCTATTTGGTTTCGGATGAAGGAGTGGCTGTTGTTAAGAAATGAGAGACTTTTAGATTTAGAAGATCATGAGCTGAGATTTGGGTGGCATGGTTACTTATGGTATGATAAAGTCAAAGTAAATGTAGATTTTAAAAATCATTATATTAGGAATGCCATACTACAAATATGGAGGTTATGCCCCAATATATCCTTGTTGGCCTCAGCCCAAGAAGCATTTTATAGAAAAGAAACAGTGGGCAAAAACAAATGGTTCACATATTAAATACTTGCTGGCACAAGTATTTAAGCTTAAGAGCTTAAGATGAAATCAAGAGAACAATTAATTGCAGAGGGATTTAGTTTTCAATGGTTCTCATATGCACAATTAAGGGAAAGATTTAATATAGATAAAAAAGTACCAGGAATTGAATGTGATAAAATGGAATTCGAAAACAAATTATGTACAAATGATGAACATGTGATTGCTAAAATGTATAAACTTTTGCTGAGATTTGAAATGGAG